GCGCTGCGCGGCTGAGGCAGAGCCCGACGCCGGCCGGCAGCGAGCGCCGCGCCGTTTCCTCCCTGCTTCTCCAGCCTGCAGGGCCGCCACCGTGGTTAGCACTAGAGCAAGTATAGTACAAAGTGACGGGTTAGTTGTGCCATGCTTTGGCATTTCTTGCAGACAGAAGGCAGGTGAGAAGTCCTGTGTCATTGCTGCCCGCTGTGACTCTGAGCATGCAGGTGCCTTTTCTGAGGCGATCGCTAGGTGATCTTCTCCCGAAAAGATGGCAAAACATGACTACTTTTGCCCTCTTTAAAAAATACATCTGGATTACTGACATTTCGTGCTATTTCTAGGCTATGAACCACATTAGGTTTGTTTTTTAAGGTAGTGAGGATATGCCAAAGCATATTATGTTTTTATTTAATCTCTCTCTTTGACCTAATATGCAGCATCAGTTCAGTTTATTTGGCCCTTTCCCGCTATCAACTGTCTTTTTCCAAGGCAGTGAAGATGATACGAATATTGAGTCTCAGGAACAGCTGAGCAAGGATATGCTTGAAAAGTGAATTATGGCTTAGGGTAGGTATCGGAGAAGAAAAGGGTGGGTGAGTAGATTTCTACTACTGTGGTGAGAGAACATGATCTTACTGCTGAGGCCCCCTGCAAAACTTCATATGGCTAGGACTGGATTTCATGTCTTGAAGGCAGCCCTGAATATTGACGTGGAGGGTGCTTGCCCGCAGAGCTTCAGCACCTGCGTTCCTGGGCATGAAACGCTTTTCCCTCTTCTGAAAGAGCCTTGGAAATGCTTCTGGGGGAAACGTCCATTTTGACTGCTGTTTCAAACCCGTCTAGCTCTAGTGCTCCTTCCCACGTTTGCTGTCAGGTTTCTGAGATGGTAACGCACGCGTGCTCCCGATTCCCGAACAGGATGCTTCTTCACTAAGTGCCTGGTAGCGAACTCTGTTTCCTTGCTGGTTTCTCATGCTAAATAAGTTCAACTGAGGGAAGCATGCAGTCGCACAGAAACAGAGCACGCAAATTAAATTCTCTTTCTTGCTAATTGGAGAAGATTTTAAATACATATGAAATTAAATGCGAACCAGAGGTTGACTAAATTGCTTGTACGTTTCTTCTGGCATACAGTATTGGGGGGGGAGGGGAAGGTGAAATATGTTCGTTTATTCTAAGCAGTATGTAGTGGAAGCACTTCTGAAAGTTAAATAAATGTGTAGCCTGTTACATGCTTGAATATAAACCATGCCATACAGTACTATGATATTTTCAGGCTGCTAATAAAGCTACAGTTGAATCAGCAAACCATCAAATTTATGTCTTGTGGTCAAAATATCAGAGATTTACCTACAAACAGAAACACAGTGAGCATCCTTTGTTGCATTTAGCAAAGAGCAAGGATCCTAATCCCTTTCTAAACCTTTTTGTGTGCTCTTGTGGCTGGGTGGTTTTTTTTTTTTTCTGCAAGTATTAGTTTGATGAATTTTACAAGCACGAACAAGATTTTAAATGCTCTGGAACACAGTGTTTCGTCTTGGACTGGTGATTTTAAACGTAGATTCAGGTTTGCTGTTTGAAGTTACTCCGAAGTCATTTGCTCTAAGTGACAAGGAAAATACAGTCATACAAGCATCCATTGGGATTTTTAGAGCAATGGAGGCAGCCTTATTTGTTGTATCGTCCTCAATACCTATGACCAAGGTCGATGGAGTGACACTCCCACTAGCTTTAATGAGTTGTATCTAATTGTATTAGGGTCTGCCTCAGAATGCCAAACAGATGTAAATTGCTTTGAGATGTGCTTCTAGGAAGCTCCAGAACATCTTGTCATGATGACATCTTCCTGTATGCTATCTCTGTTCCTGTGCGTATGGTGTTTAACGCTGTTTGTAGGCATCTATGCTGTTACGTGCTTTTTCATTTCTGTCCTTTCAGCCAGTTATTTGGGACTCCTAAAACTGTGGCTAACTTCAGAAAAGAATATGGAGTCACCCGTTTTCTTTAGCATCGGCTTTGTCTAACTTGCTGTATGGTTATTATATAACATAAGATACTATATGTTATTATTTGCATAGCAGAATAACTGCAGTACTCTGCCTGATTCAGGTTAGGCTGAGCACTTCAGAGAAAGATGTGCTAAGAATTTAGTGTTTTTACATAATCTCCATTTGTCTCAGGTGCTTTATCAAAGGTATTGTCTTTCATCATTTCAGGACTGTCTCTGAATCGCAATCCGGAAAGAATAAATAATCATTTTGATTTAAGTTGAACGTTTGTCTCTAAGATTAAGAAAACAGCCATGCCAGTGCTTTCAGAAGATTCAGGTAACTAATCTACATGCTTTAAATGTGTGACTGAAATCTTAGTGCATGTTTTTCACACAGGAAATGAACTCAACTTGGAATTAAAGAAAATAGAATTAAGATTGCTCAACTAGATTTCTTAGCAGTTACTTAAAAGAATACAAGGAAGGTGGATTATAAAAGGTGGAACTGAATACAGTTAGATTTCAGGAAACACCTCGTTTCATAAGACCCTTACAGCCCGGGAATGTAAGCTGGTAGCCGGGCTCCTATGGACGATCTCAGACCTCTCAGTATAATCTGGGCTTCCACTCATGCTTATTAAAGATCACTCCTTACATCTCTGGTGCTTGCTGTGTCACCTGTTAACATTTTCTGAATAGGTGTTGGTAAGCTTCATTACCGTTACTCCTTTTGACTTAACAGTGATTCCACTCCAGGCTTACTAACCAGCTTCGCCGGTGCTCTCCCCAGAGTGAAGCTGTATGCACCGATGGTACCGGGTGTTACAGCAGGAAAAGAGTTTGGATCTCCTGGATCCAAATGCGCTCTGAAGGTCACAGAGAGAATAGCCTGTGGAACAGATGTTTTTTATCTGAGTCTGGGTTTTTTATCAGCTGTTGTCCACCAGGAAAAACCTCATGGCTTTCTGTTTGGCCTTCTTCTTTGGAAAATTAGGACGCTAATGGATGAAGTACTTTTTAGAAAACTAGTCACAATCTTTGCTTCCAGTGCAGTGTTCTCAACAAATCTACATCAGTCTCTACCTCCTCTGACCAGTAAGTTCTGATCAGAACTTACTTCTTAACAGGTGCTTCAGAGGTAGAGGGACAGGATAACACTTGTAAGCAGAGTTGCTCGGGAAGTAGAGCTAGTAACTGTGCAACAAAGGAAACAGTTCAGCTACCCTGCGCGTCTGCTGTGGCTCTCTAATAAGGCAAAGTTTGTTCCTCTAACAGATGACCCTCTTAACAAAGAGAAATTAATATGAAGAGGAAAAATTTAAAAGTAATGGCTTTAAAAACATATTGTTTTGGTAGCTTTTGCCTTACCGTGATCTATGTTCTATCTCAAGCTGTATTGGCTGCTTAGAAAGGGAGCCATTAAAAAAATGAGTGGAAGATAACCACAAATCTCTATGGAAACTTAATAATCACTGAGATGGTACCTGAGGAAGTGTAGCTGACTAAGTCTGTAATAGTAGTCCTGTAAAACGTGTTATCTACAAAGCTTTTGTTCTGTCTTGCATTTAAATATAGGATTACATGAAACTTTGGCTCTGTTGACCTCTCAGCTAAGACCTGACTCAAATCATCAAGAGGAAATGGGATTCCTTAGGGATGTCTTCAGTGAAAAGAGTCTCAGTTACCTAATGAAGGTAAAAGTTCCTTTTATGAGTCTACGTTTTCTTCACGAGTTAGTTATTTTCTGTGTTGATCATGTAGTTTGCCAAAGCTAATTTGTTTTTGTGTAGAATTCTGTACTGACACAAGTACATATTTATTTAAGGACAAACATTAAGAACATTCAAAGAAAATTGACACATTTTGTTCCAAAAAATACATTTCGGGTTGTTGTTGAGTGAAGGTCACACTGAATTATATAATATGAATCAGTCTGGAGGGGCCGTTTTGAGGTTTGTTTGATGCTTAGTGGCATTGAGAACATTTTATACTTATTTTACTGTGAAGTAATTGTAAAAATGCAGGTTCAGTACCCAGTAATTAAACAGCAGTGTGAAATGGCTTTATTTTTCTCTTATGCTGCTAAAGTCTTTCAGTGTATTTCTGGCTGGCTGTGTAACTAGCAGTAGCAAAAAGAAAACTAAAAAACTCCTAAACAAAACAAAAATAACCCCAGTAGATATTGTTTTCTGTGAGTTATATCTCAGGAAAGTTATACTCCTTAAATATAAAAATATGCCAGTGTAGATATATTTAGGAAGTTCTGCATCTCTCTGTAGTAATATACCTGAATAATCTTTTTCAGATTCATGAAAAGCTCCGTCATTATGAAAGACAGAGTCCAACTCCTGTTTTACACAGTGCAGCAGGATTAGTTGAAGATGTGAGTAAGAATTCTGTCTCCTTTTTCTCATCTTTAAGCCTGTTTCTAACAGCTTTACGATTGTGCGGTATGTGTATTTATTCCTCGCCCTCCCAATTGTCTTTGGAATCCGCTGGCAAGTTTCACCCGTAACTGATGGAGGAAATGAGACCTCAGAAATATCAGGTCATTATATGTCCAGTGAAGACAGACACAGACAGGAGGAACAGAGAGAGATTATTAACGGCCTTCCTACGAGAGAGGCTGCAGGAAGCCTTCTGTCCTTTCTAGACATCAGAGAATCCACATAAGAGCTCCATGTTAAGGACATAAATCCGTTACAAGCCAAACTTTATTGCTGTTCACAGAACCGTGCGTTATATCTTAGGTTTGTTTGTAACATGCCACATACCTGAAAAGTGAAATTTATACTGCTTTTGACAGCTGTTTACAAGTTGCTTGGGCCTGTTTTCTTCAAAAGTGTAGCACAGGGCAGCTGGAAGATTTGGAAGGTAGAATTATTCCCTTTACAAAGACAGGAGACCTCACTGCCCCGTCTCGCCTTGCGGCATACCACCACTCCCCCTTCCCACAGATAGCTTACTGCCCCTGTAAAAGTTTTGACACTGCCATCTGTCAAACCTATACAAAATTATCCTCTCCTAAATAGCAGAGGAAAAATTTTACATAGGGCTATAGAACTTCTCTGTCCAGCGTCCTTTACAGGGAAAGGAATTCTCTCTCTTCCTTCTTCCCACTGTTCTCTTCCTCCTCCACTTCTCCTCTCCTTCTCCTTCCTCCCTCCCTTCTCTCCCGTCTGTCTCTCTTTCTTCCCTCTACCTCAAAAAGATTGAGAGTTTGGCTACAGAAAGGAATTCTCTCCCTTGCTTCTGGTTCTATACAAGTTTCTCAAAGCAGCCTAGTGCAAGAAGTTAGTTATGCTCTGTGTTGTCGATCATTTAGTTTGCCAAAGCTAATTTGTTTTTGTGTAGAAATAGCATGTTTCTGCTATTATTTGTTTTCTCTTTGTAGTAGCTGCATTAGAAATGGTTGCAGACAAAATATCAGACTGGTTAGGTTATTTTCTGATCTGGTCTGGGAAACCCATGGTCTCTTTTCCTGCTTCAATCATCAGTTGTTGCCATTGAAAGAGGGGAATTAATTTTTGAATCTTCAGTTATAAAAATTGAAGACTTTACATTTGGCAGGTTATATTTTTTTAATGTCTATTTAGTGTGTGTAAAATTTGAGATTTGTATTGATTTTTCAGAAGTATTTCATACCAATTTTTCTCTGCTTTACACAGTCTGGAGTTAAATAATTTTTGCAAATCTGGTAAATTTCTTTTCACCTGCCATAGAAAATGCAGGCAAATTTGCACTATGTGCATGTTTCCTGAAAAGGCTTTGCAAAAAGGGGAACTTAGGCCCTGGTTCAGGTAGGAAAGGTTCTCTGATTTTTTTTTTTTTTTTTTTTTTTTTGGGAGGGTCAGTAGTGGTATCCAGGCTTTGCAGGGGAACAAGGGAGCTTCTGTTGCATTTTCTACACAGATAATGTTACTTGGTTAGAAAAAAGATTAGACTGCATTATCACAATGCAAACACAAGAATGTTGTTTAAATTGTGGATTAAAATTTCAGGAACGAGTCCTGAAGTTTATATTGACTGGAACACTTTTTAAAGGTATGTTTAGGGGCAAGATTCTGATTTCTGATTATATCTTCTTGCACTACCTAATAAAAATCTAAATAAAGCCGATCAAGAATCTTTCATTTCTTTTAGGATTCATGCACAGGTTATTGGGGTTGTATTTGATCTATACATGCTTCTTTGCAGTGTGATAGAAGTTAGCAAACACTCATCAGAAAATATACTTGCAAATATATGGCCTTGTTCAGTGGATGCCTTTTATTTTGAAGATGCTGTTTTTTATTTTAAAGGTAATAGAAGAATTGCAGACTGCACCAGTGAATAATGAAGAAAAAGAGCTACTTCAGCTGTTGTCAACACCACATCTCAGGGTAACCAAAAAAAAAAAAACCAGCAGAGACCTTAATCAAATTCCTTTGCATAACTCCAGCAGAGCATTCTGTTACAGAAAAGTTGCAATGAAGAGTCCCTAACTAAAAGGAAAAGCCTCCTACAAACTGTAGTTCTGTTCCATTTCCTGCTGCAGTCTTTTGGATGTGAAGGAGACTGAGAAGGCACGGTGTAGGCTTTTCATAAATAAGGGGCCATATCTTCTCCCCTCCCTTCCTTAATATTTCCTAAGGGAGCAGAAAAGTACCCCATTTCTGAACTCTTTGCTTTCCACAGTTCACCTCTATTCTGTAAATTTATTTAGGTTGGGCTTTGTTAATTCCTGTGCTTGCTTTATATATCGACACATACCAATATATAGTTTACAGAATGGATAAGATAATCACTGTAATAGAGTCTCTGGCTTATCTTCTTTTTTCTAATCAGATGCACATAAGTATGGACTATATAATAAATGACTGATACAGTTGGAAAGGACAGGTCAGTGTGTGAGCCAGTTTGTGGTGATGTCAGTGATAACAATACTGGTCTCTGCAAAAGTGCAGGAGAAGGAAAAGGGAAAACAAAACATTCCATGTTCTTTCACTACATCTGTTGGTGCCCTTCGAAAGTAAAATAGGTTATTATCTTTTTTTTCGTTAATAGAAGCAGAGTAGAGCATAACATTAGATGTGGACCTTTTCAATATTGTAGCCAGAAGACCAATAAGAAATTGATTTATTCCCACTACAGAACTTCTGTATGGATTTTCACAAAAACAGTTTAAAAAAAAATGTTTGCTGTAGTGTCTGAAACGTGAGCATTGGAAACTATGATATTGATCCATTACATTACCGTTTCATTTTTCCTTTATGCAGGCAATGCTTGTCGTACACGACACTGTAGCACAGAAGAACTTTGATCCAGTCCTTCCACCTCTGCCTGATAATTTTGATGATGATTTTGATGAAGAATCAGTGAAAATTGTTCGGCTAGTGAAAAATAAAGAACCTTTGGTATGTATTAGATACTCCATTTCTAGTCATAAAATTCTCAGGTACAAAAAGCATTGTTATAAGGATGGGGGAGGTACTTAAAGATGTCATCAAATAGTCTGCAGAAAGTAAGAGTGTTTTGAAGCTAGTTAAATACCATCAAAAGAAAACTTTGGTAAATACACATTCACATTGACGTGCCGCTTTCCACTTTGAGGGGAACGCTGTCCTTGAGAGCCTGTGTATATTAAAGTAATTATACTTACTATACACATTAATCGAATGTGTATAGTAATGAATGAATGCATGCCTTCTCTTTCATGAGTGTCAGTGGTGTATGGTAAGAGTATGTTTGATAGCTATATACAAACAATATATTGTCAAGATACTGTTTTTATACAAACGGAAATGGAAGAATTGATTTTCTAGGAAAAAACAATTGCTTTGGGGAAGAAGCCTGCTAAAAGGTGTTTTGGAACTGTCCAGTACAGTAAAGGAGAAGAGTGACTTAATTCTTGGTTAAAGCATTATATTACCAGCAGACCCAAGAGGGAAAAAAAATACCAAATTACTTGGCTTTCCTCGTTTTTATACATAAAAGCGCTGGCTTTATTGTATAAAGTTTCAGAAGATGCATAGAGAAGGCTTTTACAAGAAATTGTTTTGTACGCTTGAGTGACTTTGATTACCAGGGTAGTATAGGTAGTGTAAATATACAGCATAGCTTACCAGCATTAGGTAGGTAGTGTAAACACTCAGGATGTGCATACCTTCCCACCACCACATGACGTGCACAGGCAGAAGTTGAATAATGGTGAAAATAGTCAAGGAGGGAGACAAAATGTATAGAAGAAATGAATTCCAGTTTAGAGGACATACTAGCTTACATGTTATTTCACTGCTAAGTGAGTATATTCTAAGCAACTTTCTTAAAATGATGTCTTTGTGGGGGGGTTATGTTTTGTTTCAGGGAGCTACCATCAGAAGAGATGAGCATACAGGGGCTGTGATTGTAGCAAGGATCATGAGAGGTGGTGCAGCTGATCGCAGTGGTAAATTTCTGAAGAGAAGGAAATTTTTAAATAGCATTTGTAAACTATCCTAAGTTTTGAAAATTTTGCGCGCGCGCACACACACGCACCATATGCATATACCTAGAGCAATAATTTCTATCTAAATCTAATGACTATTCATTAATTAAACCAGCCCTTTGGACGCTGGTGTTTAATGCACGCGTAGTCTGTTTTGTACAAAACACGCAGCTCCTCTGACTCTTGATAGCCAGCTGTTAGACGTCAAGTATGTAGTATGTAATGTAGGCTCCCTCCGTAGTCAGTGGAGGGAGATGGGCATCTCCGGAGGATGAATCGTCCCTACCAGTTTTAGAATGGGACAGGTCACTTGTTGGAACTGCCTTTTTTTCCCCTTATTGACTATAAGGGGAGCCTACGTGATAAGCTCACTTGACAGCTGAATTTCAGGTGTCTAGTGATAGGAAAGACTTCTGTGCGTATGCTGTCATTCGGCATGATTTCAGATTCTAGAGAGGTTAATTCACATGGTATTTGACCTTACGTTTTCTACAAGCTACTCATCCAGATGGTTTTAAATAAGCTGATTTGGCCTTAAGTGTGATTGATAGAATCCAAGCCTTATGCACTTTTTTAGTACACTAGTAATACAGTCACAAAACTAATGAACTGCTATGATGAAAAAATATTAGCTAAATTACAGCTTTCTTTTTGACTGTTGTTAGCATTTTTCATATTAGCATGATCTGATTAATGTGAAGTGGCTAAACAGTGCGCTTAGCATTTCCATATTTCATTGGTAATCTATTCTTTTAATTAGCTACTTTGCTCTAAAATAGCTACTAGGAAAAATGCCAACAAAGTAAGGATAAGCAGTCCTAAACTTTAGAAGAAAGTAAGGAGACAAGCAAAGCAAAATAGGTGTTTACCTTGAATCTAGTGTCTTGTATACTTGGTATATTCACCATATCATGAGTTGTTTCCTGTTTGCTTTACTGACAAATTCTTTTATGCCAGTAAACGCACAAGTGTTTAACACAAGTGCAACGTTTCTTACTGAACTGGATAAACAAACCTAAAACTTGTAAAGGCCCCTGCGTGATTTGTTTAAAAACATTAGTCCAGCAGTCTTTCTGGGACTGTGTGGTATTGATCTGTCTGTTGACAGCAGTGTCATTCCTACACTGATAGTCAGCAGCATGCCTCCTCACTCTACAGGGTTTGACCATCCTTATGAAACTATTCCGGTATTGCATTCTTAATGCTGATCCAAATATAGAGGCAGTGATTTTCCAAAGTACCTTGGCACATGATCTCTGTCTCCACACTGTTCTCTTATGCAACTGTAGTGCACTGAAAAACATGTCATATAGAATAAGAGCAGGAGACTCGGAGCGCACTGCCGACAGAAGCACTTGGCTCTAGTAGGGAATCCACTAGGTTAGGGCATGCATGCTATTGACATAGCTTGGACATCAGAAGAATGGCGCTTTCCAGCGTGTGGACTTACTTTAATTATCATCTTTTCAGGTCTTGTTCATGTTGGAGATGAACTAAGAGAAGTCAATGGTATTGCTGTGCTTCACAAACGACCCGAAGAAATTAGTCAGATTTTGGTCTGCACCTATTTTTACTCTAAGATCTTTTTTGTCAGGTGATCTAGTAATTACAACAGAGATGAAATTTGACCGTGAGTTTAAAATATGTGTAGTACTAAAAGATGGAATGCCTGCCAGTCTCTGCATTAAGAGCTTTTCTGACTTTAGAAAGTTCTGTGAAACTGAGTCATTTCTAAGAAGATGCGTATGTAAAAGTTACACGTAACTCCATCAAGAACTTTACTTTCATGGTTTGTTTATGACAAATTAATTGTCAATTAAAAGTGTATTCCTAAAAGAGAAATAGTTTATTCATATAATAAGATATGTCAGAAGGCTGAAGGAAGCCTCGTCTGCGTGTCCTGTAGAACAGTCCATCTGTTCTTTACTGCTACATTCCTTGATCCATTAGCAAATTCTTGCCTACAGTTTCTCTAAACTTAATGCCCACAAATCTTGCTAGCTACATCTAAACCTCCACATCTGTGTTCAGTCTACTCTGTTGCATGGAGGGTCCTAGCTCTTACTTACGCTCACTTGTCTCTGACTCCTCCTCTAATGTGCCTTGTTTCCCTCTTGTCTTGGTGTGGAGCAGAGTTAGTGACGCAGTAAGAAGAAAGGCAACGTTAGGAAACTGAAGTATCTGGCATCAATTCCATCACGTAATTTAACTTTAGATCAAAATTATTCTGAATACATATACTGAATATATACTGAGAATCACCGCTTTTAACTTAGGGAAAAATGTTAAAAGCATCTTTTGAGATAATTGCATAAGGTTTGTTATTTGCGGGGACTTTAGGATGGTATTAATTTTGTCCAGTTTTAAATGCCTGCAATATGATAGTTTCCTTTTCATGGTTTATTTATGAGCAAAAACTACAAATGTTCATGTCCAAGCCGATTGTCCAGGTTTCCCTTCTAATCTGTGGAGAGTAACAGGCTTCTTTGTGCTGCTTTCAAAGTAAGAAACATTTCTTTTTTCTCAGGCTCAGTCTCAGGGGTCAATAATATTAAAAATAATTCCAGCCGTCAAAGAAGAAGATCGTCTAAAGGACAGCAAGGTATGCAACTTGATGAAATACTGAAACATACTCTGTACACTTACACAGTTCTGGCATCTCTGTAAATGCAAGATTCTTGCTGATTCAGAGAGGAGTTTCACAGAATTAGACCCATAATTGAATTAAAGAGAGAGTAGAGCCATTTCTTGGCATAAAAAAGTTGTGCTGTTTTATTCAATATAATTACTTAGAGGTCTTCTGTCTTCTACTAATGGTGGCCCGTGTTCTTCCATAGCATTTCTAGCCTTTTATTTTGTTTCATGTAATTAAGACTCTTGTTCTTGCCACTCACTTCAGTCAAAACAGACCTATTCTCAGACAGACCTGTTTTCATCGTAAGACAACAGTAGCCCACCACAAACATCAGTGCACCTCTTTGAGTGCTTGAATTGTCCTCTCTGATCAGCAATGTCTTGCTGTCCTGCCAGTCCCTTAAAGGATTCCTCTGTCACTCTCAATTGCTGCTTGCCTGCTGTCAGTTCACAAATTCAGATTACTTCTAAAAGCATTTCTACTGTGGTGCGTTAAGTGGTGGCGAGTTGCTTGTTACAAATCCAAAGGTGATTTTGATGCAGTAAAGGAACGTTCTAAAGACAATGTTTAATCGGTCAACTTTGCCATACATCCCTTTTTAATGTTATCTTGTTCCTCTTAATTTTTTTCCTTTCTTTGTTGCATGTGGTACTTGCATAGAGTGTGAACTGTGTTTACATTTGGACTTTGGTCTTTTGCGCTTCATGTTCCACAATACTGATTGAGTAGGTGCTTGAAAGTTGGCTTATTTTTCTTCACAAGTGGGTAAGTCAAAATACAGAATAAGCTTGGAAGGTTACACTATTTTTACATAACACAGCATAAAGGAGAGACAAAGAGAATATGTTTTTTATAGTTAACGATGTAAGAATTGGGGAAATGCCTTTTAAAGGTAGTTTGAAATTCTAAGTAGGACAAGAAGAAAGCATGTGTTTCTTTTGAAGGTGTTTATGAGGGCGCTTTTCTGCTATAATCCCAAAGAAGACAGAGCCATTCCCTGCCAAGAGGCTGGGCTGCCGTTTAAGAGACGACACATCCTGGAAGTCGTAAGCCAAGATGATCCCACATGGTGGCAAGCAAAGCGTGTTGGAGATACCAACCTCAGGGCAGGCTTGATCCCCTCAAAGCAGTTCCAAGAAAGGTTTGTCAGTGAAAATTACAGGATGTTTTCACTACCTAGTGTTTACGCTGATTTTATGCTGCTTCTTTTTGTCTCTGTTGTTTATCCATGATTTGATCCTTGTCATTATCCATGATCTGACAGCTTCAGAAAAAATGATTTTTTTATTTTTGTGACAGCGACACAGGAATTGAAAGGCAGGATCATGCCAGGGTGAATACGAGATGCTTAGAGGAAAGTGCTCAAAAGCTCCATCTTCTCCAATTATATAATCAACTTCCTAGCTTTCTTCAAATAGTTTGTCATTGGTTTATGCTTTGTAGCATGAGGACTGAAGCACTTGGTAAATAAGCACATATCAAATTTAAATGCTGAATATCAATCTCTTGAATGTCTGGGCTTTTAGAGACAATGTATTTCACAAACTTGTACTTCCATAGTATAAGAAGGAATACTGATTTGTTCTAACAATTTTAAATTTATGCATGGAATAGTAGTAAAAAAAAAAAAAGCTTATCTGACATTTCTTCTGGCTCTTAAGAGACTGTTTGGCTTGGACATGGATATCTTTTAGAGCTAGAAGTTTTCTCTATTTTCACAGCAAGATATGCATATATTCTAAAGGAAAATTTTCCTTGAAGTCTTGTATTTATAGGTCAGAAGTCTTACATTTTAAGAAGGAACTTGGTTTTGACCACTGGTCTCATTGTATAATTCTTGCACCAAATTGCTGAATGTATCTTTTCTGGATCGTAGACCTTCCAGAGGTAGGGTCTCTCAGAATTATGCGGCTCTGGTCCTATTGATGGTCTCCAGGAGTTATAGAATGTTTATAATAGAGGTAGATTTTTTACCACTTAATATTCTTGGTTATTTCCAACCTGAAGCTTGAGATAAAACTTGGCAGAACTTGGCAGTTGCTAGCACAGCTCATAACTTATGTGTAAAAGAACCGAGTTGCACAGTTTGGTTGTCAGTCTGCTGCTCATAATGCAAATCTCCCATTTATAATAAGGGTTTAGAAGTAGTACTTTCAGCCCACAGAGAAGTGTGAGCAAATGAAAAATAAAACAAGGCAAATCCATTTTTTAATAGTAGCAAATTGATAAGCTAGCAAGTGGCTTAATAAGCCAGAAGGGAAAATGTTGCCTGGAATCATCAAGGACACAAAGAGAAGATCTGAGCAGTTATTTTTATAATGAGATCAATGACCATATGTTAAAAAGAATACAGCATGGAACTTGTTGACATAGAGACAGCGTTAAGGTACAGAACAAAAAATACCTGTTCCTTGTCCAAACTTAATCATGTTTTTCTGCAGGAACTGTCTCAATTAAGGCGTTGCTTCTGCTTAATGCTTGTTAAGAAGTGCTAGAGCAAGCATCCATGTTACTTGTACGCTCAGATTTTAAGAGATGCTCTTTGAATTACTAATGTTTATCTGCAATAAACAGAGCAATGATTTTCCAAGCCACATTCAATTAGAATTGAAATGAGCAAGGCTGACTTTGAATGTCATTCAAATTGCAGGACACAAAAATGTTTAATTTTCATGCTCTCTCAGATCTGGACCTGAGTTTAATTTGCCTACTAATGGTATATTTCTGTTCACTCTTGAGATGTGTGATGCACACCACGTTGAACTTCCCTCATGCTAGTTTCATCAGAGATTTATTATACTTTTTCAAGGAGAGGCACTGTTTCTTTCTTCCTTTTCAATGCTACATGTATAAATTTTTTATAATTCTGAGCTTATGTTGCTAAAATGTAATTATTTTCTATGTAGACGATTGAGTTACAGAAGAGCTGTAGGCACTCTGCAGAAACCCAAAACTGTGAAGAAGCCACTCTGTAAGTCTGTTCTGTTCATTCAATGATGCCTTAGTTGGTATTAACTTCTCAGTAATTTTTTTGTGATTTTAGTAATGAATGGGTTTAAGTATTTTTTTTGTCATGGATTGTTTTGCTTGGATACAAGCTGCCACATGGGAGGATTTGGTTTTGAGTTCTATCCAGTGTTGCTAGTGCCCAGTAGTTTAAAAACATGGCTGTCCCTCTCCTCCGGCTTTCAAGAACATGAAGCCTTATACGTTTTTTAGTGACTGTAGAATTTGTTATTTGTGTTCAGAGTAGTATAATCCATATTTTTTAACAGTTTGAAACTTTATAGCTGCAGAAGAAAACCAGTGCACAGTTCCTGGAACTCTTACATAAGTGTATGATAATGGCTCTTAAGTCTATATGAAAATAAGCTGGGGCTTTAAGGAGGATAAAAATCACATGAGCTGGCAATACCATCATCTGCCTTTCAGGCTACAGAAATAATTCGGTTTTACTGTCCTGTTTCTTAGCATCAAAGAGCTGCGCTCAGGTAGACTTTAAAGCAATTCCTGTTTACAGCTCCAAAGCCTCTGTCTGTGAATAATTCACAAAGAAATTGCTACTTGGGATGTAACTGCTAGTCAGCGATGAAAGGCAGAAGACAGATTCTGTATTGACCCAGAGTATAACGTTATTGTTGCTCCTGGTACTTCAGCACAGCTGTTGCTGTGTGGGAGAGCCCTATGACTATGGGCACACTTTGTGCCAGCAGTGTCACTTTCAAGTTGAATGCAAATATTGCCTTTACACTAGGAAGCTGGAAATTTTCCAACTTCAGTGGTATAAGCGAACCTCAGACCCCAATGTGCTTTGCATATCTCATGAGAAGATACAGGTACTCTGCTACAGAGCGAAAGGATGATGCTCAACTTAATTGTAAAGTAGCATTACTAATTTACACGAACCGTTTCCAAATTAGTTTCATTACCCTCAGTGATAGGAGGCATATAATGAGGATTTCTACTTAAGTTTTTAGTCGGACATTCTCAGAGAAGCCAGTTAAGTAGATAACTGGTTTTAATACTAAATTTAACAAAAGGCCATTGATCAGTTGGTCCCCACTTAATTTTTGTTTTAAGCTATAAAAGCCTGATAAGCAAATCGGACCAGAAGGACCTTCCTTTCCGCTCACTGTAATTTTACTCATTCATTTACCAGTCTTTTAATCATATCAACTCTGTCTTTTATGCTAACTGCAGATGATCAGTCTTCTGATAAAGGTAGGTAGTCTCCCTGTCTGTATGTAAACAAGCCACGCATTTTCATAAATGTTTGGTAAGCCCCCAAGAAAAAGGCATGGTAATTATAGCTTGCTCCTACAGCAGTTTCTTCCTGAGTTACTGTTTAAATAAATGTAGTTTGCGCTGATGACCTATGTAATAATTACTTCCCTGTTTACTCCATATTTAATACAAATGTTTTGTGTCTTCTGATACGCAATTCCTGTATGCATTTACATGTTCTGTAAGTTTCAGAGTGAGATTTATAGAGTTGCAAGTTTAATGCAGTAGTTGTAAAAGAAATATTGGGTTTTCATCTTTTGGAGTACCTGTATCAATGTTAATTGATTTTTCTTCATTGTTTGCTGCATTATTTTCATTATGAGCGACTGTATTAGGCTCGTGTAGTTTATATGATTATGCAATATCACATGACTTTTCAAATACCCGGCACTTGAAAATGAATCTACATGCTATTGTTTTTTCACATTACACACGTACTTCTAGAAAATAATATGCCAAGTATTGGTATTCCATCAGCTTTGGTGAAAGGACAAATTCTGTTATACCCTGAGGAATCAGGAATGTGAGACTAGAGCCTATCTTCAACAAGATAAAACAGCTCTGATCTTAGCTGTGAATAGGAGGAGTGGGTTATTACTAATGTTATCTTCTGTTACTGTAAGCATAATGTTTTACTATTATACATTGGCACAACTGGAAGAGAAGACCCAATATGTATTAGTTACCTGCATGCAACTCTTCAGAATAAGACAAGACACTTTCTCTGGATTGGTACATGTTGTTATTTAAAGGGTTAAGCTGCATATATTTTTGCCTATGGTTAATCTTGTCCCAGAACCATACACCTCCTTTTTTAAAATGAGTAGAGTTCTGTGGATATTGCAGGGCACAGGTGCCTAAATTCTAACAAGGCAAGTAATGCTCTTTCAGGAAGCATGAGAACTCGATATTTACTGCAGTATTTCAGTATTGCGTTTTGCATACTTTTAGGGGCTTTGGGGTAGGTGGTACTTGTCTGTCTATCTGTTTGTTTGTTTATTATATAGCCATGCATATGATAGAGATTTGATGCTTTTTCATTTACCTTTTTAATAAAGAATGGAATAGTCAAAATGAAGACACTTACAGCTGATATTTCACTCATCTTTGATTTCCCTTTTTCAAGCCCAGACGACACTGGAATATCAGAACAGGCGATATCCTTACATAATCCTATCTACTTGCAAAGTCATATATTTAAAATAGAGCCATGTGATTGAGGAGTCTTTTTCTTTTTTTTTTTCTTCTTCTCTCTCTTTTTTTTTTTTTTTTTTTAACTTAATCTGAAAACTAATGGCAGCCCTGATCAAATGCAATGGATGCTGAAGAGCATGGATTCTGGAAACCATAAATACTGAGACATAAAATTGTACATGTTCAATATCTATTTTTTTGTTTAATATAAACTACTAGCCTAGGCAATTATTTTTTTGTGTCATTAATATCTGTAGCAGGCACTGTATAAAATACCCATCTCTTCTCTCTCTCTCTCTCTCTCTCTCTCTCTCTCTTTCTCTCTCATGTTCTTTATTTACAGAGGACTGTGACTGTGAAGGATATTTCAATGGACAGTATATAGGTGAGAAACCAAAACCACTCCTCTTCCTTGTTAAAAAAAAATTGCCATTAAAAAAAGCTAATTTCTTTTCATTAGAGTTAATTTCACATAAATTCATGAACTAGATTATCTCTGTGCAAGGGTGTAGTGGGACATAGCCAACACTTGGCAATTCAAGATGACTTGAGCTTTTTTTTGTAGTTTGGGTACTTTGTTTTCTATCTGATATGCAAATAAAAATAATGGCCACATCAATTTTTCATTGACTAGATTAGCATATATTAATTGATTTGATTATAAAAAAAGAATTCTGAGAGTAACTCATATTGAAAGACAGAGTAAGTTCTAGCTGAAGAAGCTTTAAAGTTTAGGTAGGAGGACACGTAGTATAATATATCTTATGTTTTCCTCTACAGCTGGCTTACGCAGGAGCTTTAGATTAAGTCGTAAAGAGAAGGAGAACAATCAAAATGAGGCAAAGCAAGCAGAGCAGGCAGACACAGCAGAGTTTCTAACGTATGAAGAAGTCACCAAATATCAACAGCAGCCTGGTGAACAGCAGAGACTGGTTGTTTTGATTGGTAAGATACACAGATCTCCCTCTTCCCTTCCTTACCCCCACCCTAGGAAGCTTACCTTGACTATTTTTTTTAGAAGACATTTCTTTTTTGGTCACCTTTGTTCTCTTCTTTTACTTGACAATCCTAAAAAAATCCTTCCAAAGATGATGATGCAGGACCAATTGTAATTTTTCTGATTTTTTTTTTCCATTGGCATCCAGTTCCCCCTGAATGATGAGCATACCTATGCTGTAAGAACAATTGATGAAAAGATAGATATTAGAGAGAATTCTCTAATTCTATGTAGTCTTAATTCTGTGAGCTTGCAATCTTGTCTTTAGCCCATTTCCCAAGCTGCCTTAGAAATTAAGGGTATCCCAGAAAACTAACTGCTAAAATTACAGATTTTCTGACATAGTGCCTGATATACGTTTGTCCAACAACTGGATTCAATCTTCCTAATGATGTTCCTCAAATTAGAATGAGGCAGGCCACGAAGTCTCTCATGTTCAGGTTTCTTCAGCTGAACAGCTGAAGGTTTCTACAGCTTACTCCTGTATCGTAAATTGTTTGTGTGAGGTTTATTTTATTCATTCTGTTGCAGTATTTCTTTCTACACAGAAAACTGTCAGTCAGTTCTGTTTTATTAGGTTGTTTGGGGGCCAAATTAAATGAGCTCAAGCAGAAGGTTGTGTCAGAGAACCCACAGGAGTATGGCGTTGCAGTTCCACGTAAGTAAAATTTATCAGTGTTTGTGGGTCACCACTTTATTCCATAATTTTTGTTTCATAGTATAGTGCTAGCTGCATTGCTGAGTGGTCATTTGTGTTTCTACTGTTGACTGTATGCATATTTCAGAAGTAGTTCACATTATTTTCTCATTGTCACATACTGTCCTTGCCTTTTTTTAATAGTTGAGTAGGTGACTACATAACTTGGCACACATGCACCTGGAGTTTTGTTAACACAATTGGTTTTTTTGCATTACATTTTCCAAAGTGAACAGATTGCATTTTCTCAGTGTCCATAAAAAGAAGCTGAATACTGGAAAAAAATGTAGACTGTAAGTTGCAAAAAAAAAACCCAGTGAGAAAAAAGAAACATCTTAAGATTTAGCCAAAACAATGCCGTCTTCATTATATTTATTTTAAAAGGGATGATTTTTCTTCAGAATATCATACCTGTTGAAGTAAAAAAAAAAATATATATATATCTAGATAGCAATAAACCAAAACAAAATTTTTACAAGATTTTTAATTGTTGGTTAGCATATCTATTATGTTCTTACCTGCCAGTCACAGTGATGCAAGAATTAATGGTTCTGTTGTGTGGATTTGTAGCTAGTGTTATAATTATTGAACTTTTTGCTGGGTTATTTTCCCAAAAATTATTGGATATGTAAAAATCCGTTGATATTTGTATCCCTCAGCAAGCCACTTCTGCGATTCAGAAAATGAACACTGAGGGCATTGTTGATATGTTATTTAAGACTTTCGACAAAAGGCTGTTAGGTCCTGAATAGACCTAATACGCTGAATAGATGTTCAATCCATTGGCAGCAGAATTCGTACGAATAATTTTTGAGTTGAATTTAAACATGCATACAAAAAAGAGCAGACATCATTTTTATGGGCAGGCATAGATTTGTTTAATGATCACCGAAGTCTCTGTTACAGTGACAACAAATACTGAAAGAAATGACAACATCAAAGATAAAGGGTGCTACAATTTATGTAAGTTTCTCAAGAACGTGGGAATATTAGTGAGGGTAAAAGAAGCGCTCTGAGGCTCTTGCCAAAAAATCAAGCTACTCCCCTGTATTAGCAGGGAATGAACGAAGCTGCAATGAGGAGAATGCAATTTTGTGTGCGTGTCCCTGCGCATCTCCCCCCCACCCCCAACACTGTTTCTTCCCATTCCAAATAGTTAAATAAAAGAAATATTTATAGCTTGTTTTCAGAAGAGAGATTATTTACTGTAGAATTTATTCAACCCCTTCTCCTAGTTAGGGAAGTACATGTCCGGATTTTTGTGTTGTTGCACCCTAGGGAGCAAATACTCCTTTGTTGGTCTTAAATTTGAAAGATTGAGTTTAAAAGAATGATAATGTTTCATATATATGTTTTATGTTAGTTTGAATTTACTGCTGTGTGATTACCTTGTTTGGGGACATGAAAACGTGACTGGAATTAAACAGGGAAAATACAGTTGCTTGCAAAGGCTGATCTGTCCCCCATGTCTTGCTTCCACTCTCTTCTAGATACAACCAGGTCAAAGAAAAGTCATGAGAAAGAGGGAGTAGAATACAATTTTGTGTCTAAGCAATCATTTGAGACAGACGTGCAGCAAAACAAGTGAGTTAATTGTAACATACTCCATAGCTGATTATATTTCAAAAGTATTGCTTGTTAAATTTTATAGCATATGGATACCAAAATCAGATGTGAAGTTGGACAAGCCATATTAGAAGGGTTCAGCTTTCCTAGTTAAACCTCTTTATTCAGCCTGGACTGTTAGTGCAAACCCAGAATTTTAGTAAGAAGCAACTTAGAAACCACATAGGACTGGTAGGAAGAGGAAAAGTTAGAATTCAGCCCTGCGTATCATAACTAGTATGACTGGTCAGAATTGAATCTAGCAAAAGGTAGAGAAACTTATTTGGGTCTGCTTATTCTCAGCCTAATATTATAGGAAACAAGTTTTATTCATGAGTCCAATTTAAAGTGTCTTGTGGACTGAATCCAGGAATATAAAGGACTTTCTGTATCTAGTGTGTTTTCTAAAAGTACAGATTTTTTTTTTTTTTTAATTGAATCTAGTCTCCCAGAATCTAGAAGAATCAAAGTCCATTTCCTTGCTAGCTTTGTTCTACTCTCTGTGGAAAAACATCCTTTTTCTTCTATTAGGTTTGGACATCAGTCAGCTGAATTAATGCAGCTTCTTCCCCTATTTGTCAATAGCAGTGATGACCTATTAGTGATATGTGAAGACTGTTGCTTTTAAGGAACCAGAAGGAAAAAATTAATAAACAGAAAAAGAAACACTTTCTTTCCTTGATTTCCTTCCCCCCCCCCCCCCCCCCTTTTTTTCCTTTGTTTCCCTCCCCCCCCCCCCCCCATATTTGACTACTGTGGCTTGGGGAAGCAGCTATCAAGTGCTGCAAGTTCAATTTTCTTTGTGGACAGTATTTAAAAATGTATTAACTTTTTAGATTTGTGGAACACGGAGAATACAAAGAAAATCTGTATGGCACAAGTCTTGAGGCAATCCGGTCTGTGATGGCCAAAAAGAAGGTTTGTTTGGTGGATGTGGTACCTGAAGTAAGTTCTAATGTTTTGTAGCTTATTTTAAGGAAAGCAAATATTTCTTACAGGGCTCTCAGCCTAGGTAACTAATGTTGTTCACCATTTGTGGGTACTTACTCTGCAGAGAGCAACAATGCTGTTAGGAACACAAGTTCTAACAGGTGGCCTCACTGCTGACGAAGCAGAATAGGACTCTTCAAAAAGCAATGCAGTGTGTACAATTCCTAGATGCCTGAGAAGACACATTATGAGTTCTCACTGAGGGGTTATGCGTTGCTCTAGGAGAAATGTGCATAACCATCCTGGCCTGCTGAAGCCACAGAGGGAATGTTTACAGTATGGATGGGTTTTCCATTCTTTTTCTTTCTTGTTGCTTCAAAAGCGTTATTAGAGTTGTAACTGGTGCCAATGGGCCTGCTCTCAACTCCTCCATTCTAGGAATTAATCTTGCAGTCTTGACTCAGATATGGTGAATGGGATACATAAAGACTTTTAATACTACTTGAAATGAATTCCAGGTTTCCATTTTGCTGTTTGGCCTCTTATGAGGAGCAAACAGTAACTTGCCTAGCAAGCCCCATTTTTATCCTTTCCTCCGTCTCTTTGCCATGTCCCTGATCCTGGGATTGCCATGCAAAGCAAGGCGTGTGTGCAGTTAGACCATGCTCTAGGAAGCTCACTTACTCTTGTAAGGTAGCCAGGAAACTGACATTAATCTTTCCTTTGAAAAGCAAAAGGTTACTGCGCTCGGATGTATTGTATGGTACGCAGGACTTCACACCAGAGTGTACACAAGTGAAACTGTTGAACCCAGCTTGTGCAGATCACTGACATTCCATGCAGTGATTTATAAAATATGGCATGACAAAAAAACCTCTGTTTGCAGGCAGTGAAGCACCTGAGGACTCCTGAGTTTAAGCCTTATGTTATCTTTGTGAAGCCTCTCATTCCAGAAAAGAAAAAGCATGCCCTAAAATCTCCTGTGTCAGAAGAACTCTCAACCCCCCTTGTAAGTATCATAACCTTAATCTCTACTTTTCAGACATGAAAGAAGTATTTGGGATAGCATTGCTATCACATGGAAGAGCTTAGTCTTCCGTGACAGCAAGGGAGTCAGGGTGGACCGCCAACCTTTCAGCTGGAACTTCATAATGAGATTTTGACCCTCTTTAAACTTTGTCTCATGTTACTTATGTAGCTGAGTGCACATCCTTCCTGTGGAGCTGTGTGCATCACTCAAGGGCACAGTGGAGGAAGCTGCCACTGAACTCAGATAAACTAATAATCATTTTATTCTGTTGATAAGCAGCCCCATCAAACAGCCAAGGCAGCCACCTGTTCCTGATACCTGCACAGTGACACCCGTCCAGGCTGTTAAGGAGTGATACAATAATAGATAACACAAAAAACCAGCATGTGCACATCCTACAAGGACCAGACCTAAGCCAACTGGAAATTGGTGATGTGTAAATGTAAACTGAAATACAGAGAGTGCATAATGTTCTTATTTTGGGTAACCTGAACTTTGAATTTATACACACAGAACTTTCCCAGTGGTAGCAGCTTTTGTTTCGTTTCTTTTCAAAATAATGATTTAGAGTACTAGTATAATACTCAAAAATACTAGTAAGTAATTAAAACGAGGTACTGCAAGTTTAGTATAATCTTCTCATGTGTTGATCAGCAGGATGAAGAACAGCAGGAAATTATTAACTCAGCAGCATTCATTGAAGAGCAGTATGGCCATTTAATTGACACTGTACTGGTGAAAGAAGATCTCCAGAGTGCATGTAATCAGCTGAAAACCGTGCTAGAGAAGCTAAACAAGGATTCATTTTGGGTGCCGATCAACTGGGTTAGGTCATAGCCAGTAATCATCTGCTTAAAGGAAAGATTGTATAAAAATGTCTTGTGAGTATATGGATTACAAAAGGGAAACATGTCAGTTTCACTTCAAAGCTGCCATTCTAACTAGAAAATAACATAAAAAACGTATTAGAAAAACTAAACAAAGCAAGTCAGAAGCAGACACTGCCTTCCTGAATCAGAGTTTTTAGTGGTAGCTGTCATTCAAAACAGCTGAACTGAATGCTCAGTCTAAACAGATTAGTAAAAGATTGGAGTGACTTTTACACTGTAAATGCTGCATTTTGTAAGGTAAAATTTCACAGATGGTCCCACACTTTCAAAGCATTTAAGCAGTGCCTGGACAGTAAAAAGCAGGAATTCTCAGCCTTTGGGCAGATATTGCGTGGCTAGAGTTAAGGCATCCCAAACTAGGTACTTTTCGGGGACTGATCTGCCTACAGAACAAGCTCCTTTAAGGCAGGCATATCCTCTGGAGAGTGCTTACACCATCTCAGCTGCTTAGAAATTCAGCTGTCTGACAGGCCAGAAAGACATGTTTCCCTTCACTCAGAATCATTAGTTGCGAATCCTTTCCAGTTAGGCACCAGACTAGGTCAGCTATGTAAGTTGTATATATTTTAGCAGCTGAAAGAGGGTGTGTGTTGTGTTGGGTTGTTTTTTTGTTTGTTTGTTTTGTTTTTTTCCCCAATGCCTATCCCACATTTCCCAGTGCTTCTTTCTGGCCATCTTACATAGGTAGTCTGCTCGTCCATAGCTTATGCCTGCTTTCCCAGTCTCTTCCAGCTGACACAGGCCAAACATTAAACCACCTGTGAACACACCTGTGTGACTATCCATCCCGTAATAAACTGGAGACATTCTTTTATCTACATGAAAATTACTCTATATGATGTGAGATAGGACTTCAAGAAGCTACTTATCCCCAAGGCACCTTTGGAAATGCCACCTGATGGGATACTACATGGACACCAACACAGCTGCTCTGAAGAAGGCACTAAAATGAGGAGTTTGAAGTACTATGCATCTGAGCTACAGCATCGAATCGTCATCCTTCCAGCCGTTACGGGTGCCTTTGCTTCAACTCTAGTGAAGGGTTCCAGAGTGAGTAGTAGGCCACATCAAGTCCTGAAGTGGAAATCTTAACGGTTACAGGATTTTGCAGATATTTCTGGAGACTTGAATATACAGGATTTTTAGGTGGGTATAAATAAGAAAAGGCAGAGATATGGTTCTGAAAGCACCTATGCTTTTAAAATCATTATTTGATAAATTTATGAGTATTGTACAGGCATATGTTAGATAAAACTAGTTGCTGTTTTCCTTTGCTTACTGAGTTGTAATCTTAGAAACGTACGATGCCCTCTTCTGATGCACCGATCCCATTCTTTGCACCTTAACACTATGATATAATTCTTGTTCCAACACATTCACCAAAACAAACAGCACTGCATATTAAAAAGCACATTTCTCATAGGCCAGTGTCACTGCATCTCCACTTAAGTCTTCGCAGCCCAAAAAGTTGTGTAGGACAGCCACCCATATCCATCTTCACCAAACAGCTCTACCCTGGCAACTCTTTCATATGTCTTTCTTACCAGGTGTTGAGGTTCCCCTTCATGCAAGAATAGCACCTTTCACAAGCAGATAGATCTGCTCTGGCTTTTCAGAGCAGATGCACCACAGGACCAGGGGCCTCTGAGCAAGTGTACAAAGACTCCTTCATATGCTGGTTGCCCATCAGCTCTGCTGTCACGTCTCTGTTGTCTTGGCCTAGCACAGCCATCAAAAGTAACGTGACTTGCAAAAGAGACTCGGTGGCAAAAATGAATTTTGTGACAGATGTACCTTTATCCTATGAACAATTGGGAATAATACTTTAAAAAACTATTTTAAATTAACAACATTCCAAATGAAGTAGCCTTATGAAAATATAAAATAGGCAGCGATGCCTTTGTATAAAATTGATTGATGTTGCCATAGCTATCTATTGCAGATTACAAACAGCTTTTTTTACAGTCTGCAAGACATAAGCATTTGTAGAGGATACAAATAAGATGTTATCTAAGGGTCAGAATTCCCTCAATGCAAGGTTACTCTCCAACCATTTAAAAAATTCCAAAGGACTAGCAATAAATAGTTTGCTTGCTTTTGACCTAACAGAGACTAATAGGGAAACGCTTAAAGAAAAGCGAGGCAAATTAAGTTATACAGGTAAAACTGAAGTTACAGTAACTGAAAACTTACTTAAGATGTAAACATCATGTAATATTGCTGTTAAACTGAACTGAAATAATATGGGTTAAGTAATCTTCTTTTAAATTGTGTGCACGTAGCATATTCTGTATGGATGTACATTCACCTTGATATTAACTTGTGGCACTGTCAGAAATGTTTGTTTCGTTTCTACATGCAGGGTTGTTTTTTTTTCTAGGCTCAAAGTAAAGGATGGTGAGAGGCTAGGCACGTATGTGCTAAAGTTTGAGGGCAGCTAAGATGAGCATCACTTGTAGGGGAAAGAAACAAACACATTCAATGCTCCTATTTATTCTAAAATCCTAGCAAAAGGGTATGCAGCAGATGGCTAATGTTATCAGGACAAGATTCTGATTCTGACAAGATTTTGAGTCCCTGCTGTGTTAGCTGTGCCTGGTATATTCTCCTGCAATTAGAGGGGAAAAAAAGTGAGAAGAGATTATAAGGAAAAATCAGAATGCAAATGTACTCTAATTCAAAGCCCTGTTTTGTGAGTAGCCGTAAGAGCACTATGTTAAAGTACTTAAGCAAACTGAACCTCCTCTCCCTTCCCCTTCTCCCTCCCTTGCTCGCACCTACAAATTAATGTAGTCTTTCATATTTCTTTCTGTGATTTGTAGTATCGAAGGATGAGCCTTGGTTAATGTCTGCACAACCTGAAATTTTCAGGCAATTTTCTGTCCATATACTAACCATATCTGAAACTGCTTCCCTTTTGAAACATAAAGCCAAGGAACATTTCGGTCAGTAAGACAAAGCATACATTCAGATGGTTTTGAAGAATCATTTTCTTGAGCCAAATTTGCAATAGAATTAGGATGACAACTTACTATAAAATACATAACCTGTCATATGACTGAGATGCACGTAGGTCCCTGATACCTCAAACACAGCTTCTTATATGACGTGCAGTGCTTTATAAAATTAAACCTTCTGAGGTAAAACAGCATACCTAATCCTCTTGTGAGGAAATAAGGTATCGTGTTGTAGTCCGTATGAAGTGCCTGGTATTCTGCTGTAAAAAGAAAGAAATGCCATAGTTTTTGTCATTTAGGCTAATTAGGCATTATAAGAAAACTGTTACGCCTGTAATTCATAGAAGTACACTATCTAATTTTCATCCTTTTTTGCCTTCTCTTGTATGCTAGTGATTGATTAGCATTAGTCAGGTCTCCTGTAGATTACTTACTCAATTCAGCAGTCAGTAGTTATGCATCGCCAAGTTGGCCATAGGCTTTAGGTATTTCTGATGTCTTGAGTTACAGTGTCTACATCCTAATTGTCAAAGGTCCCAAGTCCCAGAATACTAGCAGAATGAGTTAGCAGTATAGTGCCATCTTTACCTTTTAAATAGAACTCTGCCTGCCTAAAACTTGTCACCAAGCAAATGTGACTAGTCTGTGGCCGTCAGTTGTAATCGCAGAGTTAACTAATGTTTTTTCTAAGCTTACTTAGAGCATGATATGCCTTACAGAACAAGCACAGCCATGGTCATTGCACAGAGCAACCAGAGGAAGTAATACGTTTAAAAGTATCCAACCTACAGCGCAGAGCCAAGGCATTCTGAAACACTCTTATTGTGGTTAGGGGAAAATGAACAAATCCCGGGCTCTGGTTGAACCATTTAAACTTCACAGGGCAGAAGTGTGAGGCACTTGAAGGCATTTTGTCCTCAAGGTTCACATCGGTTTCTTCAACTAAGGTAAAATAAAGCCACTGGCAGTCCCCAAAAATTTCCAGTAATCGAGTTGTACAGAATGGGTGCAGAAATAAAGTTTAAAAAACCTAATAAAAAACCTAAGTTTTACAGTTCCTGTGTAAAAACCAGTAGCATTTTTGTTTCTGAGATGCTGTGCTTGTTCTTGCAAGTATAAAGCTATAATTTCAAACTGAAGAGTGAATGAGAGAAGTTTAATTCTATTTTCAGGAAAGTTAGTTATAATTGTTATCTTTTTCAGAATAGAAAACTATTTTGGAAAAGCATGAAGGAGAAAATCCATACACAAGGCTATTCGTTAACATGGACTGTATGCTCTTCTACCTCCTGCCTGAAAATGTGCCCTGGGTTATCATATCGATAGCTACATATTATTGATACATAATATTTTAATTATCAGGTGTCATGACTTTTTATAACAATTAAAGATTAACTGCCTGTTTTGTTTTTTTTTTTTTCCATTGAAGCCAGCTTAGTTTTTGATTAGAATGGGCTATGAAGTATATAAGTTCAAATAATGCCCATCTTCAGCTGCCTTTTAAAACAAGGTATACAAGATAGATCACATTTTAGGTATTAAAAATGCAGTTTGCAATACCAATTGCCTGTAGGCAACATGAAAATTAATGTTTGAATGTAATATAATGGCACATTTTTCTTTATGTTAAAATAGTCAATATTTATTGAGAATATCAAAATAAAGTTCAACCTCGGCAAGGCAGCCATTATCACTAAGACTACCCATCCTTTTTAATGTACAGGCAGCCCTTCAACCCAGATTTCTAACATAATTTTGTTCTAGAAAAACGCTCCCTTTTCTGATTACCTACTGTTTTCTGATTACTTCCTGATTTATTAAGGTACAAATTTTTCTAGTTCAATAATCCAGATAGCTAAGTAGCTGCCGTTTTAAAAACATCCCCATAGTATTAAACTCATCCCATACGTTTTCCTTAGTTTGAAGATATAAAAGAATAATATACTAAAGAAAAATTAATGTACATGCCTGCCAACCACTCTCAGACTTCTTATGATCGTAATTAGGCTTACGGTCAACAAGCCTCTTCAGAATACCTTGGTTTTCCACAGTGATCTTCACTATTTCCCTGTTCTGCTTATCTCTATTTGCGCTATGAACAAAAATGAATGAAGATAATTTTTGTTTTGTAAAAAATGCAATTTTTCAGGACTTTCTTATTAATGCAATGGCATTTGTGAGGCATATACACAGGTGCAACAAACTCACTCCCTTCCCCCCCCCCCCATACCCAAAATGGTGCCTTTCAGTGACTCTTGCCGAGGTTGGCTTTGGTCATCATTTCCATAAGAGTAGGTTAATGTCAGGATCTTCACCGTGGCTCTTTCTTTGTCATATCCTGTCCCTGTATTTCTCTCTTAATTTAGACTTACATATACGTAGTTTCAGTTATTGTATTACAGCATTCAGAATTCTCTGCAGGTGCCTCCAAATAGGTAAAGCAATCTCACATACAAAAGTCTGAAAGAATAACTGTATGTGGCAAGAAAGCAGCAACAGAACTGCTGTTAGGAATAGGCAAGGGAAGGCAATGATAATACTTAGCTACTTGGCAAAAGTTTAGAGTAAATACATGTGCAAGTATACAAACAGAAACCAGAAACAGCCTCACTGACTTGCCCTAGATGGCTGTTGTAAAAATGAATTGGGTGTGCGTGCGGAGAGGAACTGCAATGACGAAGTTTGGAGTTGTAGTCCATGCATTAGAGCAGTTCGGAAAAAAAAGCTAGGAGAACTGAGCCTGGCAGAAAAAGAGGAGGAAAGCTAGTGAAAGCCCTAGCAAGGAGCAATAATTCCAGTGTCTGGATAGTACAGGAAGATGGGAAGCATACATCTGTGAAAAATGACTGTGGCTAGAGGAAGCTTTTGAAGAAAAAAAAAAGTGCAACGCAAAGGCATCTTAGTAGACAGGTTTTGTAGTTCACGGGGTGTTTGTTGCGGGATGGGTATGTGCGTGAGAGATAGACCAACTGGTTACATTTTGTACCAAAAACAGAGCAGAAACCTGTAGTATCCCGCAGCAGACAGGGCTGCGGAGAGATTGAGGATGAGAATGCAATTGGGTTCCAGAATAACAGCAGAGAATAAACGCTCTCTTAAAAGGGATTTAACGCTTGAGGAAATGGGGTAGGAAGCTGCTGCCACCTAGTAAGTGCTAATTTAGCTTCCCCGTTATAAATAGCCCCTTTTCAAGCAGAAATATTTCACCACCTCCAAGAGCTCGTCTGCGAGTATAATTTTGCCTGGGGTAGTGCAGCTCTTAAGAACAACTAAGAGTGAAAAGTAAATGCTGATAGCTATAGTTCTGCTTTTTTTAAACTGTGAGTCGCTCCCCTAAAATTGCATGACACCCTTCCTACATAGATGCACACGTGCAGAAGAACTGCAGCATTGTGTGTTCCTGGAACAAATGGTAGTACCAGCTACCTCCTCCGAAAGTGCTCATTCCAGCAGTCCACTTTCCCCGTCCCTCGGTGTATCTCAGCTAGTCGCTCCAAGAGCTTCTTATTATCTCTTTCAATTTGGCCAATTCGCTTTTGATCCGCCTGTGCCAGAGATACTAAGTTGGTAATGCACTTTATATTTTTCCTTATGAAAATCTTCCCTGGGCTGGCCCTCCTCATAGTTATTTTGGTGCCCATGTTCATTGCCTATATATTTTACACACATGCACACACACACCTTATACGTATAAAAATTAAAAAAAAAAAATCCCCCTCACTTCTGCTCTCAACCATATCCAGAATCACTGTTGTCGTTTCATGATCACCTCTTGTTTTCCTTCTCCTAGCGCTCTCCATTTATTGATGTATATAAACAAACTAACAAGATACAAAAGCAGGACTGCATTCAAATAATTTTTCTGTCCTTAGCTTCTCTTGTTCATTTTGTCTCTCTCAAAGGCTGAAGAAAGCCCCCTGCTCTACATTTACCTGAAGACTTTGCTGCCACTTGAGGCATTATCATTAGAGGCAAGGGTGGGGGAGAACCATGCAGTTAAAAGTTATCAAGTACCTGAATCTTGCTTAGGTTAAAACGTTGGTGAGTCTGTGCATGCAGGGGCTTATTATCCACACGAAATCTTGCTTAAAGAGGGAGAGGGGAAAAACAAAAAAAAAAAAAAAAGGAAAAAAAAAAAGAGAGAGGAAGAAAAAAGCCTTATGTGAAAAAAGTCTTATGAAGCTACTGAGCCCCAAATCCCTTCACCCAGCTTTTCCTTTGTCAGCATCCCCCACGTACCATGAAACAGCTTTTGCTGAGGAAAAGCACTACAGGTCTGCATTGCTTCCTGGACGCAGTGGAAACAGAAACAATGTTTCAGGCATTCGGTGACAGTAAGCCGAGTACTCATTTCAGCACTACATAACAGGATCTTACTTTCCAGTAACATTTTTCTATTTACATGCCAATCAAGTCATACTGCGCCTGAACTCACAATAAGTGAACTGCCATATGGTTTAAGGGTTTTCTGTTCACAAAAGCATGGGTCTGGACCAAAAATCTTCATCTCCTGTATCAGTTTTATCTCATACGTCATTAGGAAGTCAGATTCATTTGAAAATATACAGCATTCCACAAGTCTGCTCACTGACATTAATTAGCACATGGTCTTAAAACATCTAGCTCTAAGGAAGACTTGCATTTCCCCGGAAGATCTCTACAAATGTTTCATTATGATCTAATAACTGAAACGTGGGGGTGATATAATTCAAAAAAACACATATTCTTTTTAGTCAAATAGCAGCGTACAGCTTGCCCTTTATAGCAGCTCTTTGCTTGCAACTGATAGCCATGACAGGATAGGCTAGATACTGCACACTGCCCATCTTTGCCTTTCTAACCTCCACGACTGAGGAAAATAAACCCTATTACAAATCTGACTGGCAGGATCACTGAGAGTTACCACAGATGACCCTGCTAGGACATCAAAAGCCAGTACACACAACTGGGAAAGTTCTGTGAGCATGAACAGATTGCTCTGGCAAAATTAGACCACCAGAAGGTACCTTTTTAATTACATATAAGTATCCTGCAACAGGAACAGAAATGCTCAATTTCACATTTTATTTTGTAAATCTGGATCTCTATAGAGATGTTTCTTGCAGTTACTAATAGGAATGATTGTGAATATATTACATTACTACTTTCAGACCTGGCTATGTTCAGAACTGAATGAAATACCCATTGATTTAGCTTGTTTCCCTCAGAAATCATTATGCTTATCACTATAAACAAAACAAATCCATAAATGAATTAAGATGGGTTCCTCCCCCCACACACACACAGAGGGAGCATCCATTGAGTGGGAGTGCATTCACAGCAAACTGAAACACGATATGAAGGAAAATCATGTTCCTTTTAAAGGGGCAGCCAGCTGTTTCAACACTCAAAAAATAAGCTTAAAAATGAGGCCATACTGCCCTTCTAAGGTAGGCAGATACCTGCTGCAGCAAAAACCAGCTAAGTAGTTTTGACCACATTCAACAGACAGCAACAGAACATGTAGTCTTCTCTTCACTCTCCTTTTTATCCTCAGCAGATGCACAGAAACGGATCACTGTGTTTGTGACAGGGTCAGTGCAGAAGAGTCACACATGTCATGAGAACAAAGCACAAGCTAAGAGCAGAGAATGCACCAGGACCATTATATGGCCTGCTGATCAGCAGTCAGTCATCTCCGCCTTCTCATGACTGTCTTCTTCCTGGCCTGCCTACCTGGCTTTATGGCTTTGTTACAATTGCTATGGCTTACCAGCTTCCGAATTTGACTCCCTAGTTTTATTTACTTGTGTCCAGGCTCTCTGTTTTTCACATTTATACCAGGAGACTCCAGACAATCTTGTATTATGACACGCTCACATTTTGCATAGGAATGCTCAGTAGCTTAAAACTCCATACCCTCTGAGAGCTGCGTGCAGCGTGCCTATCCAGCTGCTGTAGGTCACACCAGCAGAAACTGCTTTCTCTTTTATTCTCTGAAAAGCTGGTGTGAATGAACATTATTCCAAAGGGACACTTTATATGCTGAAACCAAGACTGTAAGAAGCAGTCTTTCAGCTGACTGTAAGTAGGTATGTCTCCATGGCAGCTGCTAAGAGCATCAAAAGCCACTATAAGATCCAACAACTTCCTCAGACTAAGATTTCAGCAGAGGGAAATGCACAGAAATGATATTGCAGCCACATAGCCACTTAGATCCATTGCAAGACAAACAGAAATGGATGTAAAAACCCAATGAATCAGGTATTTCTATTCAGGTACTCTAGCGGCAGTTACACACACACACACTTTTCACAGATGAAAGCAGCTCCAAAAAGAACAAATTTGTGGAAAACAAGCTAGAAAAGCTCTAAAATGAGGTAGAAGTTTATGCTCCTTGTTTTAAGCCTTCTGTGTTTTGGTAGCACCCATGACAAGTCACTGCTTGTTATTCAGGAGAGTACTGCTAATACAAATTTAAATTACTTTGATAGCTATGAATCATCAAATTACATATCCTAAGAAAGACAAGTCAGAATAAGGAAGTTAGTCTATGTCCTGTAATGAAAGAGCATCTTTAGATCTATTGCTTGTTTATGAACGCTTCAGTTCATTTTTAATGTTGTCCCCAAAATTATGATACTTTTACAGTATTACAAGCAGCCAATTGGCAATAATGCTCCTAGAAGACTTCCAAGACCTGACTCTAGGCTAGCATCTTCCATGACTCAAAGTCCGTTTTCAAGAAAATGCAGCGAGTTCAGCGCGAAGAAAGGTAAGAGGCAGCTAGCTAGCAGAACTTCATAATGGAACAAGCAATACAGAATTTTTCTAGTGGAAAATCTTCCATCACCAGCAGGCTTTATTTTAACCCTAGTTTTAGTCCTGCAACTGCTGAACAAGGGCAGGAATGTGAGTTTGCAGAGAGCTCTGTTAATGGCAGCAAGGACCCACACTGTAAACTGGCCCAAAACGATGACTCCAAATTCAGTACAAGTTATTTAAGAGGAGCAAGAGATAAACCTACAACGTCCTTCACAGGCAATTCTGTTTTTTCCTCTGCAGAATGTTATAAGAATATGCCTATTCACTAAAACCCTGAAATTAAGTAGTAACTCAACTTGCTCTCTGGGGACATACAGCAATTTTCACTGCTTAAATGCATCTGAAATAGGGAAACAATGTCATTGCTCGCAGCAACTCCTGACAACTCCATTCACATGGATTTAGCCGCCTAGGAGCCTCCCATGCCATTCTGGGGAAGAGAAGCTTCTCAGTAAAGTTCCAGAGTGGAACACTGCCTTGTTTTATGCTAAGGTGGGAATTTCAGAACAAGCATATATTAAATGTCAAACAGCAAAAGCATTAACTCCCACTATAAAGCATAGTGCTTCTCGGAGGAAATTTGATAGTTACCAGAAAATCATTATATTGGTATCTGAAGACATCAGTTGTGTGCAAGGAAAGGCAAAACTGTATTTGAATGAACGAAAAATGTACTTTGTTAATTAATTTGTTTTTGACAGGCCACACAAATTGTGTAGATCCAAATCAGAAACTGTCTAGTGCCTTGAATCTGTTAATATATTTTTAGAAGTCCATTCTGTTCAGATAGAACAGACACCTGTAGATCTAAGCAAGCGGACAGTATGCACCACATAAGTTTTTCTCCTGCTGTGTTGAAGACTCCATCAGCTGTACTCCCCGCTTCTCTGCACGTTTACGCCAAACACCTGGTGTCTGCAGAATCTTTATTACCAGCTCCTCAAAGGCATGTTGGACTCCATCCTGTGTCTTGGCACTAGTCTCTACAGAGAGAAGGAAAAAAAGTGGTTTTTGTTTTATTTGCAGAGAGTATTGCTCTTTGTAGAAAGCCATTTTGGGGAACGGAGAGACATGTAAACAATTGAACCTCATCTCCTTTCTCCTGTAGAGGTATGCCTAAGTTAATTGAAATAAACAGAAACATATCTCATCAGTATGAAACGTCTCCTTTTTCCATCTAGGAAAATTCCACTGTTCCCTTCTCTCTCCACAGTAGTAAATAGAAATTCTTCGTGTGGTAACAAAAATCTACAAGATGATTACTCCAGAAATAAGTCATAAAACAAAGAATGCCGAATGTGCGTTCACTCCAGTTCCTTCTCTAAATCTTATCGAGAAGCTTCACCTATTTGTGCCTCTTATTTTTAACATAGTTTTTTCCATCTTTGTTGGCTTTGTCTTCACATTGTACATTTTATCATTGGTCTAACCATATTGTTTTATGTAGCTGCAACAGAAACTCAGGCATGAAAAAGATTACCCAAGGTCCTTACTGATATCAGTCAGGAGGAAGATTCCACTCTTCAGGGTTCCAAATTAAAAAAAAAAAAAAACTAACATGACTAGTAATTTCAAGAGCATATAAAAATCCATGCCTACACAGTACATGCAATAAATCTCACTTTCAGAAAAAAGTATTCCCAATTGCAGTCAGCACACAGTATCTTTGGAAAAAGTTAAGATCTGTATCCATGCATACAGAATTGATGAAGCAAAATGAATCCGTGTTCATTAGCTATAAAAATCAACTTGAAGCACAGTTATACACTTAATTCATTCATGCTCAGTAATACCAAAATAAAGATATAAATGTATACATTTTTGGCAAAGAGTAACATACCTATAAAAAGCAGTGAGTGTTTCCTAGCAAACTGGAGTCCTTCTCTTCTCTCTACTTCACGATCAGGCTGCAAGGATGAATGAAGAACATGACTGAAGCAAGCTGTGCTTTCCAGCTTTAGGAACTCCCTGGAAAAGCAGCACTGCAAAGCTGAAGTTTTGCTGGTAGTCAGTCACTGACTGGATTTTACCTTTGTGGTCTATAGTCAGTTATTGGTGTTAGAACCAGTGGAGGGGATCAAAGTGAACAGTAGCAACTTGGAATCACCAGGAAAGGAATGTGCTGCTGCCTTCTGAACCACCTGCAAGGGAGCAAGGCGTATGCCAGAAAGAAGGCTGCCATAGTCAAACGGCTCAAGACGCACATCAAAGATGCCTGAGAAGCGACAGATTTGAAAAAGGACAGAGAAGGATATCACCACCAAAATCCCAAGACACAAGCAGTACCAACTTCTTGATGTGTACACGCAGCCAGATACACACCATTTAGCTAGGTCAGGATGGCCACACTGGAAACCTTTTTTGCTCAACCAAAAGTGAAACGCATCTCACCGTGAAACAGGCATCTCGGATGCTTCAAGCCATCCCAGAAACGCGCAGAGAACAATGCATCTAGCGGCCACACAGACACACTCTAGAGCCATCTCAAGGTAAGAGCTGAATTCTTCTTCCCCTCCCCCCCCCATTTGTTGAAAACGCACGGTCTGCTCAAAAAGACAGAAGTTGTGTTGTTGCATTGCAGTTAACTTCAATGGCATTTCTCTTCAGCAGCTAAGGCAGAACACTTTGCTATCTTCTTTTAAGACTGTTTCTCTCATTAATTGCATCTTTCTTAACAAGATCTCCTTCTAAAATGAGGAAGTAAATGAAGAAGATGGAGCCTGATCCACCTGCCTTCCTCAGTTACAGAACATATCACCTCTGTACATAACAGATGTGTTACTTTCAGAGCTTATCTCACATTTATACTTTGTCATGACTGAGTATTCAGCGGAAGCACGTAAGATGATGCATTTCCAAACTGACCTGATCAGTTTTATTGCCAACTAACATCTTCACAATGTTGCTTCCAGTGGTGTACATTTCCAGCTCATTCAGCCAGCTCTCTAGTCCTGTGAAAGTGTCTTTTCTTGTAACATCATACACTGGTGACAGAGGAAAAGGAGCTTAAAAGCTGTAAAATCGTGATCAACGTTTACAGAACTTAGTTCCTAATACTTTAACTATTGCCTCAAATGAAAAGCAGTATTAAGGAACCACAAATAGATGCATCAACCATATGGTCTTCCCAGAGCTGGAACACATCAGCTACGCTCACCTGAAGTCACTAGGGATTACAGAACATGAGCATCTGTGTGACACATCTGTGATGGGAAAACCAGCTTAATAGCTGAGATCTTATACATGTTGCTAGATCTGAACAGGGCCACAAATTGTTTTGAAATAATTATTCTGTCTTCTCATTTAAAGCATATATACATGTATGCACTAGTGTTAAAAACAGTAGATTCCAAATGTCAGTAAAAAGTAACTTTTGGTCACTGGTAACTTCATAACTGCATTCAGGTAATCACTAAGGTTAAATAAAGCTGCAGGCTGCATCATGGTCAGAAAGAACATTTTGTACAGCAAATTTTTTAGTCTTTACTGTCCCTGGAGAATAAGATTTTTTTTTTTTTTTAAATAATTGAGATTGTTGGACAGAATGGGACTAGCCATTCATTATTTGTGCTACAAACTTCATGTTTCATAGGAATCACATCAATAATGTTTCTGGAAAAAAAAAAAAAGTAAAAATAGGGAAAAAATCCAAACTTGAAAACCAATTTGGCTTATGATCAGAAACTCGCCAAAGTAATTAGAATAAAGGTGATAATTCATCTACTCAATGGTTTGTAGTGTGACAGCTACATATTTTTTAATTTAAAATAGTTTGAAGACGCACTATGTCCTGCCAATAAACTCTGCACACTTAATGTTTGAGCTAGTGACGTAGAAGTGTTGTAAAAAACATAATATCTGTTCCTTTGATTCTCTCCATCTCCTTTGAGAAGAAACTTACATTTACTTAGTAATAAGGACTTCACAATTTTTTTGTAACCATGTTTCTCTTCCATATACCTCCTACCTAGAACAACCCCTTGAGCTCCTCGGTAATAACTGGGAGTCAGCGTTCTAAAGCGCTCTTGTCCTGCTGTGTCCTACAGGGGAAAAACCAAAGGTGTTTAGAAAAAAAAAAGGTAATTTAAATTACATGACATAAGCTAAACAAAATTAGCATTTTTCTGACTAATAACGACATGTAACAGCATAAGACAACAGAATGAGGGAAGCAGCCAGAAAACATTAGCTGCAGCACAACAGAAAATGGATAAAAGGGGTAGAAAAGAGTGGAGAAGACTTCATTAAAAGATGAAGTGATAAGCACAGACGTCTGTACCATGAGTAAGATGAGGAAAGTCAATGCGACTCAAGAAACATATGTCAGAGACTCTTGCTGCAAGCTAAGAAGCTGCATTTAGTCAGTTTAACAGTCAGCTGAACTGAAAGAGGTGAGGAATCAGGGTTTTCCCAGTGACAGACACTGCAAGAAAGGAGAAATATAGAGATTCTAAAACCTCCCATTGCTCATCCACAGCAGGAAAGGAGAGTCTAGTTAGTAAGAACTATTTCAAGGCTGCTGAGATGTCAAGCAGATGAGAAATTTAAAATCAGTAATTTTGTTCAATCAGTACTACAGCATGCCATATTCACTCTCATGAAGCTTCTAAATAGCTCCTAGAGTACAATGTGAAATTCAAAATTCCCCAGAATGAACAAGAAGGAGGCAAAGGAATTGCACAAAGATCATTTTTACAAAAAATTCTCTCTTTATTTAAATATATGTACAGCTTACAGTAGATAGAAGAAAGAAATGGTTTAGTCTTTTTGTTAAAAGCACAGAATTGGAAATACACATCCTTAATTCACATCATCCTTACTAAGCAGACTGTACTCTTAGGTACCCACACACACTAGAATAATAAAGTAGAAGCCTCTCTTTGACACTCTGTATATGCATTTAAGTTTTTATTTAACATAGGATTAAAAAAAATAGTGCAATTGCACTAATTAGCACTATCTCCTGAAGCTGTTACACACTACAGCAAAAGCGCCTTTTCCAGCTATTCAACTTGGGCAGGTTCTGGCCTTGCTTTTCATTTCATAGCAAGACGACACACCCCTGTGTGATTATTAGACCAAATACTTATTTATTACTCTCAACAGAGCTTCTGCTTTGCGTGCAGCTTGCTCAGAATACAAGCAATATGTATGCTAACTACAGCAACTGTGACTTTATCATTCTTGCTCTGCATTCTGTACTCAAAGTGTAAGACTGAAAATAACAAAATAATATAAGTCTTGGCATTTATATTGCCTGCATTAATACCAACCTAAGACACATTTGTGCCTTCTTTCCAATAATCCAATTACCGACTTCAGAATAGCATATTCTTTCTCAGATACCCATGACCACATGCATAAAACTCCTTCTGGGGCTCAGTCTCTTTCAGTCCCTTTGGGAGAATTGAAGGAAGTCTCCTAGTCCCATTCCTCCCCACAATCCTCTCTATAGTTTGAGTGCTTTCTCTGTACATTTTCCATTTTAGTGTGTTCTCCTCTCTCCAATCTGTTTTAATAAATATGCCATTTAAAGATAAAAGAAATACTGCAGGTATTTTAGAACAGGACTATATCCATAGTTGTAATGGAGGTACTTCTGCTACGGTGTAGAGTGAGGGCTTTAATACTATTTTAAATAATACTGGATACACAGCTGCAGTCTGGTTTCCAATCTCCAGGTGCTATAACATAGTACCCGGAAATTGAGGGCAAATACTCAAGTCTTCTGGAAAATTTGGCCCTTCAATAGATCATAAAATACATTTCTGTTTCCTTCATTTTAACCAAAATATCTAGAGGGTTTCTGGTTTGGCACACACAAAATTGGCTACACAGCCTCTGAAGGAGATCACGCAACTCAGTTCTCAAAATCTCTCTCCTTTGTGCCTTTTTCCTCTGTTATTTCCTCAACATGTGCGTTGTCTGTCTTGGGAACGCTTCTGGGTCATACGAAAGACCTGCCCTTCTCGCAAGGCCACATCTCCTCAAGCCTAAGACCTCACAGAGGATTTCAGAAACCCAGATGCGTAACTGCAGGAACGAGCAGGATCTCTGCTAGAATTCAGGGAAGTCCTCAAACCACAACATTCACGAATTTTTTGAAAGAACTTTGTCCATGCCTGCTGTATAATCATGGAAGACACCCACCCTATGCATGTTCGAACCATAAGCATATGCAGAAGACTTGTTTAAAAAGGGAGAAAAAAAACAAAAAACATCCCACGTTCTTGAGCTTTCCTTTTCTGTCCAGAACAAAACCTACCCATATTGCAAGCTGTACTGCACGGCCATCTACCACCATTCTCTTCACTTTAAAATCGACACCTATGACTCGAGAACAAGGGAAAGAATATCACGACGAGAATGTCGAGGGACCACCCGGACACCCACCGCCCGCTCCCCTCACGGCACCCGCCCTC